TGTCCTGGGCACATGGACACGGATCCCTGTGCTAAATCTGTGATCACAGATCCATGTTTTAAATCCATGGACACAGATCTGTGACCTGAATTCATGGACACAGATCCATGACCTGAATCCATGGACACAGGGCCGTGTCCTGGGCACAGGGACACAGATCCATGACCTGAATCCATGGACACCGATCCCTGTTCTGAGCCCATGGACACAAATCCATGTCCTGAACCCATGTACACAGGTCCATGTTCTGAGCCCAGGGACACAGATCCATGTTCTAAACCCATGGACACAGATCCCTGTCCTGAATCCATGGACACAGATTCACATCCTGAACTCATGGACACAGATCCATCCTGAACCCCGTTGAAAAATTTCACCCCACACATCTTAAAAAATTAAGAAATATTTTTTTAAAAATATCCTTCAGGTCTCCAGAGCTGTGATTAAAAAAGCTGATTTTCTAACACTTCAAATTGTACTTCAAATTATACTTCAGTTGTTTATAGGTTTTTTTTTTACCAGCCAATTTTAATATGAAGTGACAAAGGATTTGGAGGAATAATCAGTGAAATATCAGTAACTGGGGGAGAGGCAGCTTGGTTGGAACTAAACTGCGTAAATTCAGTGTTAAATTTAGGGTTGATTTGCGATATTTAGCATTTCAGATGCATTTTCCCCTCTTTGTGGCACCACTGTGAAACAATCCAGGCTGGGAGAGCCCCAGGAGGTTTGGGCCATTTGAAGTTTGCATCCCTTCCAGTCCCAGGCAGCACTGGCTGGGTCCAGCTCCTGCTTAAAACCCTTTGGAGACTCTGGGTGGGATTTTCAAAGGAATCCGAGGGTGTTGAACACTTGTCTCCCTCAGGCTTTTCAAAAATGAGTCCTTAGATTTCAGTTTCTGCAGAGTTTTCCCCTGACGTTACAGTATGGGAGGGGAAGGCACCCTTGGGGTTAAAATTGGGATGAATGGGCACAGAAGAGATGCTGGTGTGTTCTTCCAAGGCATTTTTGGGGGGAGTTTCAGCCAAATTTTCCATATCTGTACTGTGGTTTCCAGAAGGATAACATTTCTCCATTTTGGGACTTGAAAAAGCTCTCT